AAGATGAAAAATTACCAATTTCAGAGAAACCCTAGCTCACACAGAGAAAGAAAATTCAAGAGAAGAAGAAAAATAAAGTCTTTTATGAAAGATGGAGCGTCCAAGAGTATACATAATCAGACAAATGGACACAGATCAAAGGGTTGCAAGTGAGCCACGTGTATGGCAGAAAGCAGCCCTTAATTTGAGGCATAAGTCGTGCAACCAAAGAACGCGTTTAATCAACTAGGCCGGGTAATATACAATTTGATTAGCCCAAAAACTTAAGAAATAGTGAGGCAGCCCAACTCATAACAAAAAATTTAAATGAAACAAATTTAATCAGTGAAAAAATGAAAATAAATTTTGAAACAAAAGGTAAAACAAGTCGGTTGGCTCTCTGCCAAAGAAACTTTTTCAAACAAAGATGGGCTAGCTCTCTCCAAATATATGCATTTTTATAGGGTTAGTCCAGATCATCATCTCATTAAATATGTGAATAAAAAGGTTATTTAATTGAATACAAACGTAAACATAATCTAAACACTAGCCAAGAATGACTCACTTTGGGACTTGTTGCGTGCATAACGTAAAGTTGTTCTCCACAAACTTTGTGGATGACACAAAGATATTTGCAAAATCTGTAATAGAATGATGATCATGGTAGTTTGAAAGGGGAGATAAAAGATCATAGCCGAAACCCCAATAAAGGGTAAAACAACATGATATCACATAAAAATAAAGAAAATGACATCAACAGAAAAAACAAACCCTTTCCAGTAATCACCATGTGGACCTTTTCCTTCCTAAGATCAATAAATTTACAAAAAATTTCTTGTCCCCACAAACATAGGTACGTTTCCTATATATCAATCAATGACAGAGAAGAAAGAAGTTCAAATGGAAGCCACTCATAAAAGGCAATTTATTGCAAAACAGTGACTAAAAGAAAGAGAATAAGAGAAAACTTTCTCTGAGTTCATATTTTGTTCAACCATCCAATATTCAAATTTTGTTTAAACTATGTATTCAACATGTTCATCATGGGCAATCCAGTTTGTCAAACTATTGTTCAACCATTTGATATTCGAATTTTGGTTGAACTATGTATTCAACATGTTCGTCATGGATTATACAATTTTATTTTTTTTCTTTATTAAACATCTAATAATATTGTGTGGTACCCAGGGCCCAAGGTTGATCTCCACCCTTGTTTGTACCATTGTTGCTTAGCACTACTTTAGGTAAAAGAGAGATCCACGGCCATTGCCCCCAGGGCATATCTCCCAGTGGCAAAGGGGAGGGCGAATAGGGCTCAGCGCGACAGTGTGCAGAGTTCGATTCCCCGCAAGGTGGAATTGGCTTTGTTGCAAGCGGGAGTTACCATATGGGTTAATAGCCTTGGCCTATCCATGTGCTCTCCACCCTGGCTCCTGGGAGGCACATCCTGCGATTTACCTCCTCCACAATGGCCCAGGACAGGGTCGGTGGGGGCCCCTAAGGTTGGGGTTCAACCTTTGAGATCCACGGCCATTTCATCTAGTAATGAACGAAAATATTATCCTACTTTCATTAGACAATGAGGTGTGCTAATTAAGCACAAGTTCTGCTACTTTAAATTAATACGCGGAAAATTTTTATTAAATACTAGGTGATGAGTCGATTTTTACCATATGGGTTAATAGCCTTGGCCTATCCATGTGCTCTCCACCCTGGCTCCTGGGAGGCACATCCTGCGATTTACCTCCTCCACAATGGCCCAGGACAGGGTCGGTGGGGGCCCCTAAGGTTGGGGTTCAACCTTTGAGATCCACGGCCATTTCATCTAGTAATGAACGAAAATATTATCCTACTTTCATTAGACAATGAGGTGTGCTAATTAAGCACAAGTTCTGCTACTTTAAATTAATACACGGAAAATTTTTATTAAATACTAGGTGATGAGTCGATTAAAATCAGAATTGTATTAAGAAATTCAAATATTAAAAGTGGAAAAAGGAACAAAAAAGAGCTTAAGAAAAAGAATAAGGTTGTACTGAGAGTCTGTTTGGGAGTGATTTTTTGTATAAAAAAATTGATTTTTTGGCCGTTGTTTCACTATTCCAGCCGCCATATTAGACTTCTTCTCTCACAGATGGACTTCACTTTTCTCCTAACAGTCAAAAAATCAATTCTCAAAATCACTCCCAAACAGACTATGAATAAGTTCAGCTCCATCCAAAAGTGAACCATTGGGCCCTTGTTTTCTTGATGTTGTTACTGTTTATATTATCTACAAATAGCGGCTATTTATTGATTATTCCCCAATTTGAATTCTTTATATTTTCTTTCCCTATCAATGGCACCCAAGAGATTTGCATTGGGTGCAACAAACAAAAACATCAGCAAGTATGAAAAAAATTGGTCAAAATAGCATCATCTCTTATCTGAGATTTTGTTCTTGTGGTGAAGCTTGATGGGGAAATAAAAATATCATCTGAAGCTGTTTTCTTTCAATTATGTGAGGGCATCTTCGCAGAAAGATTTACCTTGTGTGTTAATTTTCTCCTCGCCTAATGTATACTTTATAGTATTTGACAGCATTAAAATAATGTTACGGCACCAGTATTGGATAGTGGAAAAATCTTGTTACGGCAGTGCACTGCATATCGAACATGTTCTGCCAGATTTTCTCGAAGCAAAAGAGAAATTTAAATTTTTTCATGGGAAAATAGTCAAAGAAAGAATAATTTTTCTGGGCTAAGCTGAAAATTAAATAAGAGTTTCCACTAAAAATAGAAGAAAGCATTAAGAGACATATCAAGAAAACTAGTGAAGATCCAAATCAGAGATTTAGCCTTTTGGCAAACAGCAAAAAGCTAAAAATCAGCATACGAAAATAAAAATAAAAATTAGAACTTCATACTAAATCATCTAAAACACGAAAGAAGCAAGAAAATCAAGAACCGAACCATGCTTGAGTAACTTGGAGCTAATATTATTTTTAACAAGCGATTTCAAGACAATAATAAGATATCAAGTAAAAGAATTAAGATCAGAAAAATGGACTTATTTTTCTGTATTTCTTGCTACGAATCTAAGCAGGCCTGCCCCTTTTGTGACCGTTTGAATCTCCCTCAGATGAAGCATCCACAGGTTTTGTGAAAGAAGTTGACAGATGACCATATAAATCAACCACTCTTCTGATATTGTTGTTGAGTTCTCTGATCAGTCCCACATTTCTGCTTAAATTGTCAGGAATCTTTGACTCATGATTCCGATTAATCTCATTGATTAGCACCCTATTCTGATCCAGTATATTCTGGACTTGAATAAAATTCTTCTGAAATGTCTGCACTGCCTTCCCGTCCAACTTTGTATCACCCTCCATTTCGAGCAATCGATTCGAAACCCGTGCTGCAATTAAAGTCCAAAGATTTACCGTTATTCACTCTCAACACGAGAGTCATGTCGACTTACGAAACCAACACATGGATCAAACAAGGAGAACGGCTCTGATCTCCTGTCTTAGCGGACACAAAAAATACTTTTCACTGCTGATATAGCTAGAGAACTTTAAATCAATTTCAACAAGAAGAGACAATCTTATATATGGGATTCAATATCATGTTGGCTTTTAAGGAATATCGGAGAACCATAAGTGACCTCTTGCCACATCAGTAGTCAGAAGTTTTTTTCCTACCAAGATCCATCCAACAAGAAAAGGCAATCTTAGGATTCAATATCATATTGGCTTTTAAGGAATATTCATCATTATATCTTCACCTTTGTACTTATTAATGTATTAACAAAAGTACAGACAAAACATGATAAGGTTTATGAATTGTTTAAAACAATTGTGAATAAGGGACAAGTTCTGAACTTGGTATCATGGCCTTCTCACAGCGGGTACTTCTTTTCACACAAGGGTATCAACTGAAAAAAAAAAAAAAATGGACTTCTTTCCATTTAAAATTTTGATTACAATATTATTATAACCTCAATTATTATGGGGGTATTGATGAAGTCTAAGAAAGCAGATCCAATTTCCATAAAAAATAAAAAAGTTACCTTTTCACAATGTACTCAGAAAAACCCAGAATTCAAAAGAAGAATCTCAAGACCTGAAAACAAAAACCAGTCAATGATGCAGTGCAGACATCACCATAACTCTCATAAGGGTATTATAACTCAAAAAGCAAAAAATATTCTTAAAATAATTAGTAAAAAATTCAAGTGGAATTATTGGAACAAATTAATCAGCATCCAAGAAGCAAAATTTGTTTTAACCACTTGTGGCAATACATGGGTTTCTGCATCAAATGCTGAAACAGCAGACAGTGAGCTGGAAATTCAGAGTTGGCACCGTACACAGAAAGATTGCAATTGCAGTGAAGGTTAAAATAGAATTTCCAAACTGGAAAATAAAAAGAAAAGAACAAAAACAAACCCATAAATCAGAGATCTCAAATGAAAAAAATAAAAAAATAAAAAATTCAACTGTCTTTCCATAAAAAAACCAGTACATAAAGGCTAAAACCCCTTGGACAACCCCCTACACTACCCGCCCCCACAACCCCCTGGACGTCCAGGGTGTTGTCACCCAAGAATACTCGTACACAGAACATAAGTAAATGTGAAGTTCAAAGAATCAATACTGGAGATGTTGACAGATTCAAGAGAGCTGATAAAAACATTTTACAGGAAAATAAAGAATATGAACACTCTTCATGTGTGTGCGTATGTATATACGGACAGTATATTTTGTTTGACGTACCTTGGGATGCTGGGAACATTATGGTATGTGTTAGAGAGAGGACAGATACTGAAACAGTTGGAAAGATCGGCGACTGAAGGGAATCTTGCAAGAGAGAGTAAGAGAGAGAGAGATGACAGTCACGTTCCAACCCACACAGTTAACTATGTATTATTATTTTTTTTCCTTTGTTTCTCCTGTCCACTTTCTTGTTCTTCCCTTTGATGCATCAAAGTAAGGGTTTGTTTGACAAGAAAAAAGGGGAAAAAAAATGCTTTCTATAAGATGTTATTTATGTGAATCAATAACCATACGTCTTGCAGCTTATAATTTATATATTTTGATTTGGAAGCTATGGGACTCCTAATTATGTAAATTTTAATTCACACAATTTCTTGATCTTCCAAATTATAGAAAAGTTAGACAAATATGCTCTAAATCGTAAAAAAATATAATATATAGGAAGTAAATGTTGTTATGATTGATTGATGTAGATAGTGATCTTAGATTTTTCATTCAAAAAAATGCTATTACACCATTAAGAGTATAACATGACGACGTTTGAAGGTAGAATTAAGTGATTGTTTGTCATCTTTTAAAATTTTAAATTGTTTGTTACAGCATCATTCTTTATTATATATTCACACAAAAAAATATTTTACATACAAACCAATAATTTATTTTTTTTACTTTTTGACTACACATTCTCCAAAAAAATACTATTCAAATTTCATTAATTTTTCAAATAATGGGTGACAAACAAGGGCTAAACTAGATAAAAATATAATGAAAATGAAAAAGAAAATAATAACATTACCTACCCTACTTCAACATAAGACCTTCTAGCTAACACTATTTATTACAGTTTTACAGTAAATTCCTTATTTGGTCTAATTTGGTGTGACAAATGCAACTTAAGTGCATGTGCAAAATCATTTAATTGGGAGATTTGCAATTATTTAATTATAAAATCCTTTTTTTTTTTAAATCTTAATATGGTCTAGTTCGGTGTCTTAAAGAACAAAAGAAAAAATATATTTTATTTTTGCACTCTACATTTGTTTTCAATCCACTGATTGTTAAATTTTGCAGTTGCATTAATGGAAATTTTGAGCTAGAAGCACTTAAAAGGGGTGTTTTATACAAATCAAAAAATTTTAAATGGGGACGAAGGTACTGTTAGAGATAATGTATGGAGATCAAGCGACAAAATTCTCTTGAATAAATTATAAAATTAATGTAATAACTTCTAATATTTGAAAATTTGATTAATCACCAAATACAAAATTTAAGAAGGGCTTGTTATTTTAATCCTTCTGAATTATATATAATTCAAACTGCTATCTAAATGCATAAAACAAATTCAAATCGACAACTCAAATTCATAATCATCTACAAATAATTTAAACCAAGCAATCAATTTCTTTCCCATATAAGAAATTCAACATCCCATAATGAAATATTGGAAATCATAACTTAAATCTCATACATTAGTGGAAAAACTAATGGTAGAAAACAAAATCATTAAAAGAGTGTATTTGAAGTCATACAAATGAATTAAAAACAAGCTAAAATCAAATGGATAAAAGGGCATTGCCAAATATATAATTTGCAACAAAAAATGATTATGATAATAAATAGAATGAAAGAATGAAGAAATGAAAATTGAAAAGGGAACCTTACGAGTGAGAGGAACGAAAAAAAATTTCTCCAGAGAATAAATCGTTGCGTTGATAAAAATGCAAATGGTGGTAATAAAACTTCGATGAAATGCTGAGATTTAGAAAATCATATTTACTTTTTAATATCTTCTATCAGATTTTAAAATTGGTTGGCCTGTGACATAGAAGCAACAATTAATAAAAGGATTTTAAGATATGCTTGACAACTATTTTCAATAATAAATCTAACTCATATTGATAATAATAAATCAAACTTATATGGGAAACTATGATTTAATGTTCCTAAATAAACCATTATTTAATCTTTTTATAAAGGGGAAAATAGCATTAAATATACCCGATCTTTCGCATTAGAATCATTTAGTCCTCAATCTATCAACCCAATATTTGAGTTTTATAATTTGCAGCCGAAGTCCTTCCGGTTGAAAACCATCTAATAAAATGTCAAAATAAAACATGAAGAGCACGTCTATGTTTCATTGCCTACACAGGCTAGTTCCAATATGAAATGGCTCAATGTTGATGGCCTCCTAATTTTAGACCAAAATAGGCACTTCACAATTTGTGTTGGCGGATATATGGTGCTGATTGGCTTTAGATCACTTGATGTGCGTGCTGTGTTTTTGGCAATGAACCATTTCAAAGTACATGTGTTCTTCATGTTCCAATTTGACATTTTATTGAATAATAATATCTAGCAACAATGGTGTTTAAACACCAACCTAATTGGCTACAATTGATAGGTTCAATTGAAGCAACACATGTGACGATATATTTAAGTGGATCTATCACTTAATACCATGCAATTGTCATCCATAATGGTGCTTAATATGATTAATGGTGATAAATAACATTACTCTATTTTATTAGATGGTTTTTGTCCGAAATGACTTTGACTGCAAATGAAAAAAACTAAAACATAGGATTGATAGACTAGGGACAAAATTCTCTTCATGGGAAAGGTTGGGATATTCACCGCTATTTTCTCCTCTATAAAAAGTATTAATTGATAGCTTATTCATGAACCTTCATTAGAAAATTTCAAGATGAGTTAAATTTATTATCGTTAACTATCTACATGATGTTACATCATCTCATTTTAAATTAGCATACAAAATAGAACTTTTTTTTTTTTTTTTGGTATTTGGTCGCCAAAATATCTCTCAAAATTCTTTTATTTATTATTCCCTCTTTGTCATTTTTATCTAACTTTTAGTCATTTACAACTTTCTTTTGTATCTCCGATATAATCACCTTTAACATTAGATGGAAGATGTTGGATAAGTAAATCTAGTCTTCTAGATCCCAACATCTCATTAAACTTTTCATTACTACAATTTTCAATATAACTTCCTCATATTTCTATCAAAAGCAACTATTTCTTACCTAGTGAACTTCTTTTCGTTTCCCTCGTTCGTAAGTTTCCCTTTTCATTTGTTTATTCTTTTTTTTTTTTCTATTTACTTTGTAATAATCATCTTTTGTTGTAAATTTTAGCAAATTTTATCCATCTGATTTTAATTTTTTTTAATTCATTTGTATGATTGAAACATATTCTTTAATTATTTTGTTTTTTAACATTAGTTTTTTTCAATATTAGTCCTCATTTGATTTCCTTTAAAATCTTAATACATTTTTCTTTCTGAAATAAGTAACTTGTACATAATACGGGGTCCACCTCTCAATGGAGGCAGAACCACTTTGATAGCATTACTAGGATTTATTATTTTAATTCTTCCTAATATACGTGTAATTCAAATTACGATCTGAACTCATCCATCAAATTCTAATCCACAACTCATATTCATAATAATCTCCATATAATTTTAAAACAAGCAATCATCATTTCCTATACAAATTTTTTTTACATCCATTGATGAAATAGTGAAATTGATAATATTAATACTCAAATAAGCCCCTGTTCGACAACCATTATAAGGAGAAATTTGGGTAAAATATATTTTGGAATAGCAGTTTTTGGGAAAATGTGTGATTAAAAAAGAATGAAATATTTTTTATTTACATGTAATATTATTTTATTGAAGAATGTATAATAGAAAAGAAAAGAGAAAAATGATGATGTTATATATATATTAGGTTATTTATAACTTAATAGCTCTTTTCAAAATTCATCAAAAGTGGTTAGAAAATGTAGAAATACAGTTGGCTACTTGTGGGTTGATTTTTCAATACACATTTTTTGCATTAATTGCAATCAAGATTGCAACTCTAAGTGATCAATGATACAATCAAGTAATGTAAAAGCATCTCCAAAAGATAATCTATTTATAAAAAGTATCTCATGCATACATAATGCATCCTTAAATTTAGAGAGTAAATTTTATTATGCACTACAATGATACTCTCTATTTTGACTTCTCATTTCATTTTTTTCTTTGATGACTCAGGTGTCCAAATTTCGTCCGACTAATCTTGAGGAGTAGCGACCTTCTCCCCTGGTTTACTACTTGAGTAAATTTGAATACAATCACTGTTTATACACACTTGGGTCGGACACTCGGGATACGATTCTCCTCCCTGTAAATCTCCTTTTACGACGTACAGACAGGATATCCGGAGGGACTACAAAGCATACCATAACTTTGCTTCCACAAGACATCTGTCTTCCAACACAGATGTTACCTTACAGCTATTGCGGGGATTCGAACCTCCGATGCACTGTAGATAACCATCCTGCTTTATTACTATCCCATGCCCGTGGAAGCAACTTTTCATTTCATTTTTTTAAGAAGATTTGTTGATTTATACTTGTCTATTGTTTAACAATTATATGTGAATGGTCAATTAATTCTATGATCGAATAATTCTAAAATAAACTACTGAATTTCGTAATTTATGAATTGCAATCATTGTGAAGTAAAAATAAAGAGGATCTACAAGCTCATTTTTAAATATTGATTCTTTGTAATAGAGAACATCTTATTGTTAGAGAGTCTCTTGAAGATGATTTAAGGGTAACCACATGTTATTGATTAAAATTTTACTAGTTCTAATTCAATAATTGTTGTTATAAGAAAGACGAAATCATTGTTATTAGCCTATGAACGTTGGTCTCTTCATCGTTGAGATCAACAATTACGAGTATATATGTTCTGACAAGAATAGTTGCCTTAACATGTGGAGTTTCTGAGTTATTTGTGACCCCATTTGTTCATTGTTCAGATCGGTCCACTTGCTTTTTGTCCATGGTAGGTACATCTTGATGTGCAGTAGCTTGTCTCTTGACATTAATATCTCGTAGTTGAACTCTAATTCTTATAAGGGAAGTTTCATAAATGTCACTAAATTTAAAAATTCCCAAAAAATTCATTTTCACTAAAGATGCTAAAAAATGTCTTTTTTTATGTGAAAGGTCCAAATAACCTTTAGTGGCACCTTTTTAGGAATATTTAATGCTTGATTTGAATGTCATTAATGTTATTGTGTGATGATTTAATTTATATATTATAAACATTGGATATATGATTATTATATCGGGTAATATGAATTTTGGTAAAAATAAAAAAAATAGAGCTAAAAGAATTTGAAAAGTTAACATAAACACATATTTTCTTATCATTAACAAACCCTAACTTC